TAAAAAAAAAACTTGGAAATAATCTTAAAAATAAGAAAAAAACGATGAAGTAATACACTAATGATTATTTCCAAAATGATGGTAAGGTAAACATCTTTAAAAAAAGAAAAAAAAATCAAAAAATCTTGTGAGGAAAAAAAATATATATTTTTTAAATGGCGAGAAAATTTATCGAATTTCGTTCCGGTTTTTTGGTTTTCCGATTTTCTGATTTCCGGATAACGGGTTCTGTACTGTACTATGTTTTTTTGCCCATATAAAAATAAAATTAATTAAATTAGATTAATGAATGAATATTTTAAAAAACTGTATTAACATCAAGTGTATTAACACCCCTAAAAAATGTACTTGAACTTGAATAAAAGAATAAAAAGTATTTTATTAATAATTGAAAATTTGACAAGATATATGGAGAGTGTGAACTAATAGTAGACATTGAAAAAAAAAAGGCGTGTGGTATCAGACAACTATAAAAGTATAAATTTGATGGCATGTACCACACGTGCTATCACGTAATGTTCTTTATTGAATTTATCTGAAACAGTGAAAATAAAATAATTAACTGTGCCCAATAAACTATATTTTTTTGTTTAAATAATTAGTAATTATCACTGATCTTATTTTTAAATATGTGAAAGTGTGAACTAATACTACTATTAGTTTACCTAATTTAGTCTAATTTGAGTTGGAAAAAAACAGACCAGATGTTGCCAGAAATAAATCTAAACCTGTATCAAAATTTTTAAAAACATAAAAGATTCAAGAGAAATAAACTGTTTCCAATTTGAAACATTATATAATATAAAGTTATCGTTACATATTGTTAAAAAGTACAATTATTTATAATTTCTTATTGAGTCACACGTTTTTGTATTCCTAATTTGAAATATTTTCCTTCAAAAAGAGTTGATTGTTTTCATCATTATCATTAGCTAACCATCATAATCATTAATTTTATAATGATTAACAAAATTTTCTTACATAAAATCTTAATAGTTATGTATTTTAAAAACAAAATCTTGTTTGAAAAATAACTACTTTTAAGAGAAAAAAGAAGAATGAAGGTTGGAGAAGGGAGCCAGAAGCCTCCTACTATTTAAAAATAAATCATGACAATATATTTCAAACTACAGTTTTGTATTGAAAATCGTTCTATACACACATATGTATGATTTAAATTTAACAAAAGTATATCATTATTGCTACTAAAATACAGACTATTAATGTATCATTAAACATTATTAAATACTAAATCATTATTAACAACTAAAAGGAAAACATTATTTTTTTGTTAAACTTAAAAAATCTAGATGCAATAGGATTACATAGCTGTCAACATACATAGGAAAAAAATCCAGTAGATTTTATGAAATATAAATTTCATGATAACTGTTGAATAATGTACTAAATATCTTAGACATAAAAAATTTTAGCGTTTTTTATCGTCATCAAAATAGAGAAGTTGCACTTATGAATGACATTTAATATGCTTGAAATATTGTGTATTATGTTTAACCCTTAATTTTGAATAGTAATAGGCATTTCATTTATAAAAAATAATTCAGAATTTTTAATCAATTTAGAATGGGAGTTCTGAATAAAAATAAACTTAGCATTTTATAACAAAAAAACAAAGTTTCAAACCGATTTCTATGAATAATGCTTGCTTCATAGTAAAACTTATTTTAATATTTAAGCAAGTAATAATCTGTGCAAAAATTCTATTTCAATAGGGATTTTTTCAGAAACTTACTCAATTTTAAGGAATTTTTTAAAATGCACAAAAACCAGGAGAATTTTATATTAAACTAGTACACCAGGAGAAACGGGCATAATCCATAAGTCGACTGGAAAATCCAGTAGAGTTGGCAGCTATGGCATTATGAGATTTTCAAAATGTCATTTACTAAGGCCATTTTGCTAATTGAAAACATATTAACACAGCAATATAGTTACTATAAATTTTAAAACTATGAAAATCAGTAAGAAATTGAAACTACCTAAGACTAAAACACTTTGAAAATATTTAAATCATTGATTTCTCAAAACAAAAAAAATCTTTTGATTTAAATCAATGGTTTTTCATTAAAATAATCAACTGATTTAAATCAAGCGCTCTTATAGAACAACAAATTCAGCTGCAAAGTACAATACATTTTTACACATGAAGTTACGGAAACTAAGGTAATAGTACTCATAAATATACACGCATAACAATACTGTGAATAAATGCATGGTGAGAATTACAGAGCTAAAAAAATATTCTAAAACTACTGATTTCAAAAATGTTACCCAAGTTTAAAAAATAACTACAAATGTTTGAAAGTAGTTTATGATACATTCAACATGTTCCTCATTAATGACTATGATAAGTCAAAAATAAAGTTCTAAAGTGGATTCTATGAAATATAGGTGGAAGCTTGAAACATGGATTCTTTTGATAAATGCTCAAAATTGCTGTATCTTGAGATTTTTGTAAAAAATTAACAAAACTATACACATTCAAAAATAATGAAATAATAATAACTCACAGGCCTTACATTCAACCATCAAGTTTTAACGGAATATAGCTAATGGTTGCAAAAATTATTAAATTTTCTTCACATAGCTCAATAAACGTCACTTTTTATGTGCTTAATCTTGACTAAATTTCTTATTAATGGCACTTGAACTAGACACTTAAGTAGTATACACGTAAAATGTGTGTACTATTATGAAATAAAAAATTCTTATTATTTAATTAGGAAACATTGATACAGAAAAAATGTGTGTTAGGAACAAAATATAAAATTGCAACAGATCTTGAATCAAATACTTGTAACTGAATAGAAGATGTTTAAAAAATCAACTACAGATAAGATTCATAAACAAGTAATATTAAAAAAGTATTTTTAAAGTCAATTCCTACTTAGGTTAACAAAGAAAAATTTTATCATAGTTACTTTAAATTTGAACAAGTTTGTTTTGCAAGTTACTTTAAATTTGATATAAATATATATATAGGGAGAATGTGAACTAATCATAAAAATAAAAAAATAAAATAAAAAAGACGTGTGGCATCAGACAACTATAAAAGTATAAATTTGGTGATGTGGACCACATGTACTACCACATAATGTTCTTTATTGAATTTATCTGACATAGCGAATATAAAATAATTAAATATTTAAATATGAGCAGTAAACTATATTTCGGTTCAAATAGAGTTATAAGTTAGTAATTATCACTGATTTTATCGTTAAAATATGTGAAAACTAATCACTTATAGTAAAATTTAAAACAATGACTAACACTTAACCCAACAGAAAATTCCATTTCGTTTTTCTTTAATCCCTATTTATTGAACGAATTAATATTTCAAAAAAAAAAAAAAAAAAAAAAAAAAAAAAAAAAAAAAAAAAAANAAAAAAAAAAAACTGTGTTAACATCAAGTGTCATAGACTACAAGTTTAAAAAATTGTATTTGAAATTTAGTGGATGAATGAAAAGTATTTTATTAACAATTGAAAATTTGAACAAGATATAAGGAGAGTGTGAACTAATACAGTAGACGCCGCTTAATGTGATCACGGTTAATGTTATCAATTGTTTAATGTTATCAAAATCGCTTAGTCCCGTCCGCTTATATCAAAATACATTGAAAAATCATCGTTTATTGTAATCAAATGTTCGTTTATTGTTATCAGTTTATAGGTAAATTTTATTTTCCTGAAATCAATAAAAACAAGAAGGAAAACTTTTTTTGTGTTTTGTGAAGTGTTTCCTGAAACTTACCAAAAGTCCAAACGGGGCTGGTATATTATCTTTTAAACATGTGTTATTATGAGGGGGGGGGTATTTTGCCATTTTCGGTCAAGCATTGCAAAATTCCGCCGCACTGTACGATTTCAAATTCCCGGAAATCCTAAATAAAGAGAAAAGAAGACCTGCCAGTAACGAGTCAATGTTTGTCACGAGCACCTTTTCAGAAGAACTAAACAATGTGACAGATGATATGTTCCAGCCGCTATGGGAAAGGGGTAAGGGGTGACCTTCAAAAGAGAACATTGTTTCGGGTATGCCACTTGATCTTGGCAGGTCCCTTACTGAATCGCTATTGGTCAAACAATAAAATGGGGAGGGGGATAGTGAAACTGCAACATCTAAGTGTTTAAAAGACGAAAAAAAATCATTTTTTAGCTTAATTTTTTTTTCGTTTATTGTAATCAATCGGTTATTGTTATCAAATCAGGTTCGTCCCGATGTGATCACATTAAGCGGCGTCTACTGTAGTAGGAATTGAATAAAAATATTGCTGAACATTAATAGAAAATACTTTTGACCTATTTACATTAAAAAATTAAATTCATTTCATTTTGCAAATGTCAGTCATATTAAATTTGAGATGAATACTTACATTTTCCCTATTTTTTGAAGCGGCATAGTGTAAGGCCGTCTGCCCTGTCTGATTTGGAGAATTAACATCAGCTCCCTTGCCTATAAGTACGGCTACAATCTCTGCAGAGCCAACAGAAGACGCAATCATCAAAGGAGTCCAATTAGACTACAAAATAAATCAGGAAATAAATAATCTGACACTCGAAGAATATTTTCAAGCACTATATACAGTAAAAAAATTGCAAAATAATTTTCCAAGGCATTTCACTATCATGAGAAAATAACTAGTTTCTGACAAAGAACTCTTTTCTTTATTCTATTAGCCATTATTAAATGCTCGAGAGATTTTTCTGTTTGATATCAGAGGGTGGAAAATGAAGTCTGAAATTGAGAATATTCAGTTTTAATGAAATAAACATTATAAATCCCAGGTATTTAAATTTAAAGACTCTCTCAAGCTTCATATCATTGATCTTAAGTGTCACTCCCCTTTTCCAGTTTAATATACAGTCTCTACAGAGAAATAATCAAATTGCTTTTTTCATCCATGTCAGATAATTATTAAACTAATAAAATATATTGCATGATACAGACAAACCATACAATATAATAACTTTAAAAAAAAAACTATTTTAGTTTTGTTTTCATAAACGAAATCAAAACTTAATTTCTCAGGCCTACCTTCATATGTAAAGAACATTTAAAATATTGTAATTAAGTTACATATTGTCTATTATAACAAAGCATACATCACATTCACAACCAAGAAAAGTATACTAATTTTCATTACCAAAAGCTGAATACTCAAAACAATTCTTAGATAAAAGACTAAAGGTATTTTCAAAACAGATTTTATTTGCAGATACGTACTTTATGACAAAAAATACTTTATTACCTGGGCTTCAGAATTTTCATTTCAAATCAAGAATAATTAAATAAAAAATTTTAAATAAACATCTTTAAAGCTTACATAATTTTAAAACCATGAAAAAATTCTTGAACATTTTAAAGTGCATTTCCATGAGTTCATTTTATATTTTATAAAAACAAGTTAATTTTGACGGTCAAATTATGAATTCAGCTTGATGGTCAACATTTTACTAAAATGATGGCCAAGTATCAGCTAAATCACTATTCCTTGCAGCTATATTGTATTTACTGAATGGGAAATAAATTAATATAAATTTTCAGTAGAAAGTAAGAAATATATTTCATACATCATCAAGTTCATCGACTGGAGATCCTAATTTCAAAAGATAGTCCACAATATCCTTTTGACTTCCAGATGCAGCCCAATGTAGAGGTATCCTTCCAGACTGGAAAAAAAAATTGTTTAGAACAAAGAGTCTCAGCCTCATAAATATTGAGCAAAATAAAATATCAACCACTCCCTTGTGAAAATCCAGTTATTTAGAGTATAGGAACAAAAGAGGCATGCAGAATTATAAGACGAAACATTTTTAAGCAATTCTCTTATGCATTAAATCTGTTAGGTTTTCTTAAAAAAATAAATACAATCAATGTGTGTGTTAACTCCAGAGTTGGCAAGGTTTAGAACTGAATGGATTAATCCACGGTTTAAACTGTCCAGTCCAAAACAGTCTTAAACTATCCAAAACTATTTTGTTCAAATTACATCACAATTTTTAAAAAAAAATAAGGTGAAGAATAAAAGATTAATTTTTGAACAAGAAACAAAATGAAGACAAGTTTTTGTATTACTATTAAAAAAGTTTATTAGTATATTTGATATTGCATTATTTATCCTTATGCATAAAACCTAATTTATCAGCATTTAATGGACAATGTATTAACATTTGTTATTCAATGAATTGTGCCGCTTCAAAAGTTATTAATCTTTTCCTATTATATTATTTTCCTTTAACATTTTACAGTAAATTGTATAAAATATTTATTAATATATGTAATTATTATGCATACAATGGCTACACATATAAAGTTTTTACCTTTTACCAATGTTAAGGTTTTGGGCACTTTAAGACAGTAAAACCTACATGTCCTGTTTGGACAACCAAAATCCCAACCCTGATTATTTTTAATATTGCATTATTCATCCTTATGCAAAAACATAATTTATCAGTATTAAAAGCATATTTATTCATAATTAAAAGTATTCACTTTCGCTGTTCAATGAATTGCAGAGCTTCAAAAGTTACAGATCTTTTCTTATTATATTATTTTCTTTTAATAAGTTAAAGCAAATTGTATAAAAAATATCAAATATTATTAATATATGTAATTATGTGTACAATTGTTATACATATATAATTTTTATCTTTTACCAATGATCAGGGTTTGGTACACTTAAAGACAGTAAAACCCATGCGTCTGGTCTAAAGCCAGATTATGGCATCCAAAACCACAATCCTGGTTTTCTCAATACTTTTCTCCCAACAGGTAATAGCCGTCTATTTGTTATAATCAAAATAAATACAATAATGAAGAAAATACAACAAAGAAATACTTGCTTAAAAAGAGCCATATATTTTTAATTAGATAATTAAAAAATACCCCAAAAATAATTGTTTTACACTAAAATGCAGTATCAACAAAACAATCAAATCGTTGATACTGCTTCAAACAAAATCATGCTACTGACGTGCTTGTGAAAATATGTCAGTGGCATGATGGTTCAGATCCAGGTCCCCTGTTACACCATTTTGAGCCGACTGATGTGAGACGATCACCATTTCAATGTTTCATTAGTTGAAAATTCCTCTAGAATCTAAACCTTTGCATTAGAGTTCATAACCCATTGAGGGACTTCCAGGGACAAAACTTCTTTATAATGGTCAGAAAAGTTCTTGTGCAAAGAGTCAAGGTGATGGCAATATTCTCATAGTAACCCCCCGGGCAGACATCTACAGGATTTTCAAAAAAAAAAAACGTGCAAATTTAAATTGCATTTGGCACTTATGTGATTGTAGTTGGCATGACATATCACAATACGAAAAGGTCCCTAGTTGCACCAACTACAATCGTCTAGGTGCCAAATGGATCCTTAGCTTGCAACTTAAAAAAAAAACATATAGATATTTGCCTTGGGTTAGCTAAGAGTTATACCTTTCGAGTTGGTCCCATTCTGTGATGTTTCTCATGGGGCGTTGCCAGGAAGTAGCTAAGAATTGGTGATTATTTTGCCACAGATCACTATACGGAAATCTCCCTGTGCGTCAGATCACAATAAGGAAATCTCCCCAATTAGACACTATACAGGGATATTTTCAGGGGAGATTTCCGCATCGTGATCAGTGGCAGAATAATCACCAAGTCTTGGAAACTTCTGGGCAGTGGCCCGCGAGAAACTAAAGAAAAACATCACAGAAAGGGACCAACTCGAAAGGTAAAACTCGTACCCACCCCCTGGCAAACATCCACTTGTTTTTTTTTTAAATTGCAAGTTTAGGATCTATTTGGCACCTTGACAATTGTAATTGGTGATACAGATCACAGTATGGTAATACCCCCTACTTTTTGTATAGTGCTATGTTGCGCCAACTACAATCGTCAAGGTGCCAAATAGAACTTAATCTTGCAATTAAAAATCAACAAGTGGATGTTTGCTGTGGCTGCGAATTATACAGTTCGAGGAGTTGGCCGTTTTCTGCGACGTTTTTTTTTCTTTCTTTAATTTTTAGTTTCTCGTGAGCTACTAGACAGAAGTTGCCAAGACTTGGCGATTATTCTGTCATAGAGCAGGATAAGGAAATCTCCCCCATTGCACCATGGAGCTTTTAACACATGCTTTCCATTTCCAAGGAAAAACGGGAAAATTTAATATTTACCCATCATTTTGATCTCNTTTTTTCCTCTTTAATTTTTAGTTTCTCGTGAGCTACTTGACAGAAGTTGCCAAGACTTGGCGATTATTCTGTCATAGAGCAGGATAAGGAAATCTCCCCCATTGCACTATGGAGCTTTTAACATATCCTTTCCATTTCCAAGGAAAAACGGGAAAATTTAATATTTAACCATCATTTTGATCTCAATTTCTTATTATCTGAAAGAACATAAGAAGTCGCCAAAATTAGAGAGACACAAAATGGGAAACTTTTACCCTGAAAAAGCTTCAATTAACAGAGCTTAATCCAAGAAACTCTCTATTCTACACTCTAACCTTAGTTAGAATTATCTAATAATTCGGACACATGAAATAACATACAGAGCTTGTTACATAACAGTACAAATTAACAATAAAGATATAAATGATATTTTTACCCCATCTTTAGTAAGTAAACAAGACTTATCCTTTTCAATTCTTTCTTTAAGTTTTTCAAATTTACCTTCGAAAGCAAACCGGCAGAGCTCCAATTCGGACATTGTTATTTGTCATCAAAATCCAAATAAAAACAAATTTTCAAATTTGTTTATCATCCACATCCGATAGAAGTTGAGAAGTTTTCAACCTGAGAAATGGGCTATTTTCACTGCTTATAATTCAGGCACATCTGATGACCATCAAAAGAAAATGAGACAGGCTGTTGTTTGATTATCCGCTATTTCGATGACCAATTTTGGTTGGAATTGCGCAGTAAAAACAGTACCTAGAAGCTTTGTGGAATTTTTGTAAATAGAAGTTTTAACATTATGAATCTGGCAATTACGGTGATGATTTGTTTTGTTTTCATTGGTTTCGGCAGCTGAGGCTGGTTGTTGTCGCTTTTAAGTGTAGTTTTTGATGAAAGTTGAGAATGTCAAAATCGTATATGAATAGTTGATTTGCTACATACTTGTTTTATTCTAAATTCGCAGTTTTAAACAATTATTTAATTTTTTTCTCTTTTTTTTTGTGAATAATTTAGGGTGATCATGCGATGATAGAGGGGCGTACCTTAACTTGTAATTTTTTGATACCCTCGTCTTAACAGTTACAACTAATGTATTCATGATCTATTGTTCTATAAATTTATTACTTGATCATGGCTAGTGCTCGCCACAACTGTTTGATTGTCTTAAGTGGTTGCAAAGAAGGTATATGTCAAAATTTAACAAAGATAGTTGTCTATGTATAATCTTTATTAAACCATTTTTATTCATATTAAAACTGTCTCTTTATATTTTAGGCAACTCTGCCCAATCTTTTATACAGTCGTTTACTTTGGTCCACACTAATTTCACTGTACAGATAGCAACACCAGGTGTAAGTTAGCCTATAATTATGTTTTACAGGGATTTTTCCATATCGTGATCTGGCGAGACAACTGCAATCGCCTAGGTGCCCAACACATTTTAAACTTGCAAATTTAAAAAAAACCATGTAGATCTTGGCCCGGGGGTGGCTACAATTTATATAAACCTCGCCATACCTAGATTTTCTCTTTTTATTTCTCACTTTCACCAAAAGAAGCGGTAATTATTTATTTAGACAGGTTGGTATTAATAATAACCGAATTTATCACATAGCCGGATATAACACATATACAAAGAGGAACACCCATGTCCCATTGCTATATAAATCTTTTCATAACATTGACCAATCTTGATTGGTTATTATTAATAATAAGTGAATAATTTGTGAATTTCTCACTGATCGAAAGAAGCGGTAATTATTTATTTAGACAGGTTGGTATTAATAATAACCGAATTTATCACATAACTGGATATAACACATATACAAAGAGGAACACCCATGTACCATTGCTATATAAATCTTTTCATAACATTGACCAATCTTGATTGGTTATTATTAATAATAAGTGAATAATTTGTGAAATTTCTCACTGATCGAAAGAAGCGGTAATTATTTATTTAGATAGGTTGGTATTAATAATAACCGAATTTATCACATAACCGGATATAACACATATACAAAGAGGAACACCCATGTCCCATTGCTATATGAATCGTTGCATAACATTGACCAAACTTGATTGGTTAGTATTAATAATAAGTGAATAATTTGTGAAATTTCTCACTTTGATCAAAAGAAGCGGTAATTATTTATTTAGACAGGTTGGTATTAATAATAACCGGATTTATTACTTTAATTCGATTATTCAGCCAAAGATCACGATACAAAAATCTCTCCTGTTTTACAAATGTTGTGTTGTTTAATTGTGACTTAGCTCATTTTTAATTAAATACCTTTTTTTAAAAAAATATTTGGCACTTTTACCTATCTAGTATTACCTAAATAAGTTTTTCAAAATTGCAATGCAAGTAAAACAATATTTCATTTAAATTAAATATGAAGTATTTTATTTAAATGTCCAATATGTTTGAATTATTTTACACATTTAGTTTTCAGCTCTATATGATCAGTAAAAAAAATAATAAGTTAGCAAAATAATAGTTCTAATTAGCAATTCAAGTTAGCAAAATAATAATTCTAAATCAATAAGAACATTCAAAGATACAAATCTTCCTAAATTTGGAAACTATCCCACCCGATTCCACAAGAAACACAACTATTTACAACTTTTTTTATTTAAACTACAACTTTTTAGCTAAAGCTGATTTGTCTCTATTGGTTCACTGTTAGTATCATTTTGTAAAATACTATTTTTAGAAGACAACATTCTGCATAGCATTTTTAAAAAGTATTTATTTTTGAATTCGTTTTTTAAAGTTATTTTTAAGAAGAGCTTAATTTTTCTTTTTTAAAAACGAGATTTTTTTCTGAATTATGTCCATTTTTTGCCATTTTTACATTGCTGTATTCACCGTTTTTATGATTAATTTAGACTCAATGCATTTTACCGTACCATGAGTCCTAAGCTTATTAAAGCACCAATAATTTTACATGTTTGATGAGACCCTTACGGGTTCACATGTGCCTGCCTATACAGCGCTGGGTTAGATGAGATTCTTGCACTCTCATGTGCTACATTTTGCAAGATATTCTCAGCTTTAGGTTTCATTTTCTACCCTCTGAAATCGAACTGAAAAAATATCTCGATCTTTTTATGGTGGCTAATATCGTCAAGAAAAGAGTTCTTTGTCAGAAGCAGATTATTTTTACCATGATCGTGTGAAGTCTTTAAAAATTATTTTGTTAATGTACATGGTGCTTAAAAATATTTTTGAATACTTAAAAGGTGCTTATTTTTTGTTGAAAGATTTGGCTGGCTACGCACACTGGACAGAATTATCATCGTTAAAAGAAATTATAGAAAAACAACACTGAAAAAAAAATAGTCTCTTTAAAATAGATATACAAAACAGACATAAAAAATGGTGATGTTTTGTTGACTTTAAAAATTATATGAATTTAACAAACATATAATACTGATTCTAATAATTAGAAATGACATCTTATGATTATTCTATGCATTTAAATATTACACATTCAAAATATAAAATGTTGTTATTTTATTGAATAACCAATTGCTTATACTTAGTAAACGTTTTTGTTCCATCATGTTATTATATTTTATGTGTACTTGTTCGCTTAATACATTAATAATTTTCTTTTAGGGCAAACCCTTAGAATTTTCTAAACACGATGACCAAAGTAGAAGATGGCTAAATGAATTTAGAATGAAATCTTTAGCAATACCTCTCAGTTTACAAACTATTGATCGTGAGTTTTATAGAAATATACTAGACATTCATAATTACTTGTAATTTTACTATTATCATACATTGAAAAGTTGAATTTATAATTTAGTTTTTAAAATGTATTTCATTAATTACTGCATTCAATACTGAATGAAATATTTGAATGTATTACAATTATGCGGTACATATAAATGAGTTTTATATCTTGTTTGTCTCTTATATTTAACTAACAATGCTGCAACTAATTATATATACATAAGCTTTTTTGTTGAACGTTATGAAATAATATTTAAAAAAAAAAGCTTTTCTAGAATCCTACGTATCCAGGAACAAGAGAAAAGCTTGTTGTATATCCTGAATATCAAATTTAATAAAGGCCATTGTAAAAATAATTTTATGCGATGTAAAATTGTATTAGAATAGTGATTAATATAACTTTTTTTTTTATCACTACCACTACCAAAAAAATTGGAGGTAGGCCTTAACTTTTAACAAATTAAATTACTGATTACCAAGGCTTTACAGCTTAAACCTGATGAGTTTCCGGCATTAAAAGTCAGAATTATTGATTAAAGCTAAACCTTTTTTTCTGATAGAATAATAAATGTGATTAGAGATTAAGTAAACTTATGCTTAATTATTCATTTAAATTATGCTGAATATAATTTATTTGGAATTTCATGTTTAGAAAATATCAATAATTAAAATTTTTAAGGACATAAATTTTTAGAAATGCCTCGTTAATGATTTTACTCCAGAAATTTTCAGGATTTTTGAGTTGGGTTTGATTCATAAATGATGCTATTTATTCATAAAAATACAAATTCAAATTTATTTTTAAGATGTGCTTTTTAATAATGCAGATTAAACATAAATGACATTTAGAGTTCTGCTGAAATGTTACCAATTTAAAAAATTAAGTTATTCACATTTAAGAATGTAAAAGGGAAAAAATCAGATTCAATTTAACATTAAAAAGATAATCTGTAGCCCAATAGGTTTATAGCCGAAAGAGAATAGTCTAATGAAAGTTGTTTTTTTTTTCTGTGTATACAAAGAAGTAATAACACTTACAATTTTTTTTACTGCTTACTAAAATATTAATAAATCTAACTTAATATAACTGATTCATTTTGTCTTAGGATAAAAGTAAATTTAGATATAATTTAATAAATTGTCTAGAAATAATGGAACTAAATAAAAAAAAATGCTAAAGAAATACACAAAAAATGCTTGTTGACTAATATTTTCATTTAGTTTTTCAGATTACTCTTTAAATATAATGTTTAATTTTATGGAAATTGCTTATTTTGGCATATAGTAAGGATAAATTTAAATAGCATACTTTTTAATTTATGATTTTAAAAGCTGCTTAGAACATTGGTTATTTCTTAGTTCAAAGACTAGTTTTTGTTATATTTACTTGATATGGCTAATTAGCTTTATATTTTAATTTTTTTAAAAATTTGTTTCTTTATCTGTGTAAAAGAAATGAAGTCATCAAAAATTTATGCATTGAGTGCACACAATTTGAATAAGATAGTTTCATTACTTTTTGTTTCTTTTAGCTCACAGATATTCTTGTTTATTAATACCGCATTCTCCGGGTGCAGCTTTTGATCTGTGTAACGATGAGGATCTTGCTCAAATTCTAAAAAACTTTATCCAAGAAAAAAGTATGTTAAGATTTGATTATTGTTCTCTATTTAGTTTAATGTTATTTATTGAAAGTGTGATTTGTAAAACATATAATTGTAGCACTTACATGACTTAAAAATATATTGCATATTAGAATATCTTTATATAATTGGAATAATAGACTTTGCATTATATAATGTTTTGTGATTAATGATGTGTGAGTATTAATGATTAAAAATTAATTTTAAACACATATAGTGTAAAACACAAAAATATGCACTTTAATATTTATTATTTAAAGAAAAAAAATTAATGCATTAGAACTAAATCAGGAGCATTAGAGCTAAACATTAGCAAATGCTTTAAAGATTGGAAAGTTAAGGCGGTTTATGGAGAATGGCAGGTTATTAAATTGTATTATATAGACATAGCTGCTAACTCTACTGAATTTTGCTACTGGATCATCCGTAAAAATTTACTGTAGCCAATTATTATCTGGCTACTAAATAAAAAAAAAATCACATTTAAGAATTTATTGCAGCCATTTATGTAGCTACTAAATAAAAAAAATTACCTTTGAAAATATACTGTCGCCACTTTTTATGTCATACATTAACAAGTAAAAAATCACCTTTAAAAATTTTCTATTAAGCTTATTATTATTACCCAACAAAAAAGGGGCTGGATAGCATGTTACCAATTATCGGTAATTCCGGATAGTTTATTAATAATTCAAGATCATCAGTACATAAAATTATGATTCTTTTTTCTATAGAGCCAATTTGTGCCATTGGAATGGGTGTTGCAGCACTATTCCCTGCAATTGAAGAAGAATTCTGGTTATTTTCAAAGTACAGTCTAACTTCTGTATGTTCATTTTTTTTTAATTCCTTCTTACTTATTTTGTTTCATTCCTTTGCAGTTTATTGTATTTTCTGAAACAAGTGTAAGCATTTAATTAAATTGTATTTATATTTGGAGATTTTTATTTCAGTATAATTGTTTTGAAAAATTCAAAATTAATTGCTGACATTGTTTTAAATATTTTTTTAATGTTATATTTAATAGATCTTCCTGATAGAAAGATAGTTCCATCAAATAGTCCTCTACTAAAGCAAAATTTCACCCAATCACTTGATCCTTTGTATTTTGGATTAGGTTCAAAAAAATTAAAAGCTATGGAGTTAAACATTGATAGTCATAAATTCAGAATTAAGTCAGCTGTTTAATGACAGTTATAAAATAAAATAATGGGTAGTCGGGTTTTCATTCTGTCTTTGCGAGCCACCGCTAGGATTCAAACCTGGTTCACCTCATCAAACAGTGAATGCTTTACCTGGCCAGCCACCCTGGCTCAAGCTAAATTTATAATAAAAATTAAATTACAATTGCTCTGACCTTCAACAGTTTTACCTCGTCTTTGTTTTTAAAATAGAATACTATAAAATTTAAGAGTAGTAGTGGTTACTTATGCAGACAGTTGGAAATAAATTCTAAAACTAATAAACATAATTCGAGGAAAAGGGAAAATATCAAAATAAAAAACATGACTATCTGCCAGTTTTATATATACAAAATTCTTAAAAATATGGGCATTTCTTAATTTCATAGCTTTAAATGATTAAAGGGTTATTCTTTCACAGTTAACTCTTAGGATGTATAACATAATATAAAGTATTGCAATTTTGCCAAATTTTTATTGATTAATTGGCATGAAATTCTAAATTAAGGTTTAAAAATATCTGAAAATTCTAAATGTATAAAAAAAAAATGTATGCATTACAATTCAAAATTTTTTTCATCACTGTCAAATAATATAATATAAATTAATAAAAAATATTTAATTCATCAAAATTTACCCATTACGTACTCGTTTTTAGGCAGAGGGTTTGTAAGTTTTTGTTAAAGAATTATTCAGGGTGGCCACCCATCTGGAAAACCTTGAAAACCTGGAATTATCAGGGAATTTTTTTATACTGGAAAAAACCTGGAAATATCAGGGAAATTTGGATAAAAACCTGGAAAAATCAGGTAATTTTATTNATGCATTACAATTCAAAATTTTTTTCATCACTGACGAATAATATAATATAAATTAATAAAAAATATTTAATTCATCAAAATTTACCTATTACGTACTCGTTTTCAGGCTGAGAATTTGTAAGTTTTTGTTAAAGAATTATTGTAGTGTATGCAATCATTCAAAACATATTAAGAGAAGCATGACACATTAAAATAAGGTTAAAGTGACAAATTTTTTAACCGTTACAGGTATTAATCTATAAAAGCCGTATTTCCAAAACTCTGTTTTCTTCCTCTATTTTGGAGGTGATAAATCCAAATTTGACGAAAAAAGTTCTTCAGAAAAATTTAGTTTTTTGGCCAAAGTAAGCTAATTCTGCCATACTGTTAACCATTATACATAGATTAAAAGATTTTTTTGAGATACTACCAAAGCACTTTACGGGAGAAAAATCTGTTCAACCATTCAAAAATTAGTATTTAATTGTTAACAAAAATAGAAATATGTAATAAAAAAATTATAAACATATTAATATTTTTAGTTTTTTCCAAATAACAATTCTTAAAAATATCTGGAGTTCAACTACTGGCTCCAAGGCATAAAAGTTTCATATTACTCAATAAATAATTTTAACATATTTTTTTGTTTTTCAGTTATCTGTATTTGAGCTTGCTAAAAATGTAGATTTTGACAGCATATCTGTCATTCCAGAAGATGTGATAAAAGATAGGCTTGGTACATATAGTTGTAAGTAGCAATTTAATAAAAAAAATTTTCTATTTCCTAGCCTTTTTTAGCTATTCGCTCTTGAACTCCTCAAAATATATAACAGATTTTATATATGTATGTATTGTGTGTATATATATATGTATTAAAATTCTTATATATGAGTACAGGCATGTGATTCTTCATCTAATTTGCGGAATTCTGTGAATTTCAAGAGCGTTGATTCTCGAAAATCCACAAATCAGTAATTCATTTTCAGTACTTTAAATTTCCAACAAGTTGATCTAAAATTTTAATTTTGTTATTTATGCAAAATCTCGATAATAAGATCTACTTGTGTTTGCCTGCAATAATAGACAATTTCAAATTTCATTAATAGAGAAAGCGGTAAAATCCCTTTTCCTTTTTGTTTGCATTTCATACAGGAATCCATGCCAAAATATAACAGAAATTTTTAAAGCATGAAACTATTATGTTACAGCTCTTATTATTCATAACCGTTTTGCTAGAGCCGGATTCTTAGAGAATTTGGAATGTGCTGAGGTCGAAGATGATATTCCTTCAGACAATCTAAAAAAAAAATGTAGGTTCAGCTAACAAGGGAAACTAGGGAAGTGTGACTCACCAATTTTGAAATAAACTAGTGGATGTATGCTTTATGAGGAATAATTTTAGGGGGCAACATTCGTTTCGGCCCACAGAAGGTCGTGTGAGAGATAAAAAATAATTCAATATATAAGAAAATCAGTATTTTATTACTTCAATGCAGAGTTATTGTAATTATCTCATACTCCAATTAATTTTGTGGTACTTCCACGTACTATATAATGCATATTTATTGTCAAAATTGATTTCGAAAATTTTATACATCTGCAGTTTTTCAGAAAAACCTGTTAGGTTAATTTTTAAAAAAAAAAATTGACATCAAATTTTTTTTTTTCGAATTAATTGGAGTATGCAATTGCAAATCAATTTATTAATTAATAATTAATTACTTAATTTGCTAATTAATTTATTAATTAGCAAATTAATTAATAAACCAATTAATTACAATTTAATTGGAGTATGAGACAATTACAATAACTAATAGTCTGCATTGAAGTAATAAAATACCGATTTTTCTATATATTGAATTATTTTTTATCTCTCACAGGACCTTCTATGGGCCGAAACGAATGTTGCCCCATAAAATTATTCCTCATAAGGCATACATCCCACTAGTTTATTTCAAAACTGGCGACTCACACTTACCTAGTTTCCCTTGTAAGACAGAACCTCGAAATTGAAGACAATTAATGATTTTCTTTTTATTGATTCTGAAACTGCAACCACAGAAACATTAACTGAATCGTATATTTTGGACAGTGTGACAAATAAAAACAATACAGCACTAAATTGTGAGGAAGATGAAGAAATCATCAAACCTTCATTTGATAAAATCTTTTGAAACAAGTAGATACTAGTTTGCAAGATAAAGGTGCAACAATTGCTATTTCAATTTTGTCCAGTGTTTATGAATTTAAAACCTGTTTTGTGTTTAAGTAATTCAAATGGTGATTTTCTATTTAACGAATTTTCCATATAATGCACCAATTTTTATCGGAACTTAATGACTATGTTAAGTAGAGGTTCGTCTGTTGTTTGAATTCTTTAAAATCAAGTTTTGATACTCTTAACTTAATACAGCAACTATACCTAAATGAAGGTATAAGTTAAAGCGCAATACCATTCTGTTTTATTGTAAAATATGTGACTTACTATAGCATTTTTTTAGTGTACTAAACTTTTTTACATTCTTACAAGCTTTATTTATTTATTCATGTTTTTAGGTAGTGAACCTGATGAAATGCACGTCGTTATCGACAGGCATGTAATTACCGGTCAAAACGAACAGTCAACAATCACGGCTGTCCAGAACTTAATACTTCTTCACAACCAGAAATACACTAAAAAAGAAAAATCTCCACATTGAAATTATGTTGTATTCAAAAACGTCTATTTTTTAAGTAAACTTGTTTAATTTCTTTAAAATAGTTCTCTAGTCTTTTTTATACTGTTTATATATGAATGCGCCAAATACATTTGTAGCTATAAGATTATTGATGTAATATATTTATTGCTTGTACTGATGTTATATTTTTCCTTTTAAAGCATTCCATTTATTATCTTGATGTTTATGTGAGCTTTGTAGAAACTAATTCAAAACTAAGATTTTAGCAATTTATATTTTTTAAATGTGTAATTATTAATTTACAGAATTGATCTAATACCCAAGAGGGCAAAAAATTTTCCATCGTTAAAATGTTTTTCTTATTAATAGTTTTATTTGAAAAAAATTACTTGCACAAAAATATTTTTATTGAAAAAGAAAATTGCCCACTTAAAAAAACTTTTCACTGAAAAAAATAGTAGTAACTTTATTTGCCAATTTATTAGACTGAGTTAAGTTTATAAATGATGTCTAAAATTTAGTTTTGTAAATTATTACAAAACTAAAACTACTGTTATTATTACTTTTCCATCTTTAAATTTTTTTCTTATTGGAAATTTTTAGTCTTATTTGAAAAAAATTGGATACTTTAACAAACTTTTTCTTATAAAAATAATTGTAACTTTGTATGTCAATTTGTTTATTTATTAGACTGAATTAAGTTTATAAGTGTGACCTAAAATTTAGTTTTGTAAATTATTATTTTCATAATTTTTAACTCAAAGATGGTTGATTCAATTGTTAAAGAAATATTTATTGTCAAAAATTTTTTAAATGTATAAACTTTACTTGCTAAAAATATTTTGAAAAAGTTATTGTAATTAAAAAAAAAAAATGCTATAATTTAAAGGTGAAAAAACTGTTTTGTGGAAATATTAGACTCTGAGAATTTTGTGCAGCTCTGCTAATGATTCCTAAGAATATTATGTGAATTACATACACATGCTTTGAAGTAACTCCAACTTAAAATAATGCACTTCTATACTCAGCTGTAAAAGTTTCAAAAATAATTTCTTGTTTAGAAGTGCTTTTTAATACTGACTTCAAAGTTTTATACCATCCTCAAACCCTATCTCATTAAAAAATTGCTGAATCTAGAAAGTATGGTGGATAATTCATTTTTGTTATCTCTAAATTTTTTAAAAGGAACAAGATTTGAGGATGTCATAGATACATAGCTGCCAACTGTACAGGATTTTCCAGTAGTCTACTGGTTTCATAAAAATTCTCCTGGTTTTTGTACTTTTTCAGCAATTAAAAAAATCCCTTATTGAAGTATAATTTTTCTGAAGAATATTGCTTGCTTGAATATTTAAATAAGTGTCAGTAATGCATAATAAAGCGAGCCTCATTTATAAAATTCAGTTAACTATCTTTGATGAATTAAATGCCTATTATTATTCAAAATGAGTAAACATTTCAAGGTCATTTAATGTGAAATCATAGTTGGAAAATATTGCAGTTTTTCTATTTTGTTGACTATAAAAATCCCCAAAAGTTCCCTGTGTGTGAAATATTTAGCATATTTTGAAACGATTATCATGAAATTTATATTATTTCATAAAATCTACTGGATTTTTTCCTATCTGTGTTGGCTGCTATGATAGATATCAAGAAAATCTCATAGTCAGAATTAAAGAGAATTCCCAAAGAAAATTTTGTAAAGTTGTTTCTGAAATTTTTGGTGCCTAGTACTGAATGCATAACAGTTCAAAACATTGAAAATGAATTGGTAAATTTTAGGTTTATTAGATGAGTTCTGTACGTTAATTACCACACCTTGTATTTTAATCGGGTGAGGCACGTTTCTTTGTACCTCCCTTGTTTGTGCAAAAAGGGATTGATTCTGTGTAAGATGACTTTGATAAAACTTCATTAATCCAGGGTTGCCAAAGGTAACTAAAATGCAACTATTTCCGGCTTGAGGCGACTATTGCAACTTTTTTTTTTTTTTGCATGAAAAGGCCAAAGAAAGCAACTATTTTCCGGAAAAGAAGACTATTGGGAGACTTTTCTGTACTACTAGCAATGTTTTTTAAGCATAAATTTGGTTGTCAACCTGCGGCCGGCCGGATGAATTTTTTTCTTAAAAAGATTATGAATTGCAAAATTGAGTCATCACTGCACAGATTCCATTATAAGTCTATATTGTTTCACCTTTTCAAAGTTTGTTACAAAATTCTGCATGAATAAATTTTTTTTTAATACGATATTAATTTGCTTTAATCAATTATCGATAAAGGGGAAACATTTTTAGAAAAAGTTTTTTTTAATGAATTCTAGTAATTAAAAGTATTTAATTTTTTGCAACAAATTTTTTTAATATAAATATTTAGTGCTAGAACACAAACGTATGTATAAAAATTATTATATTTGCCATTAACTAGACTAAATGGATCATAGTATTTAACAAGTCATTTAATAAAATTTTAGTCATATTATAGAAAAATTTTGCACTTATTTAGGCAACTATTTTGCTCATTTTTTTTGTGTGGCAACTCTGATATCAGCCATTAACATTTTTTTAAAAATACTTGTTGTCTGTTATGAAAAAGCAGTCAAACTGTGTCTCACCTGAATTTATGATTTAAATTATTTTTAGTTTTTTTTTAAAAATTTTTTTATCTAATAAGATATATTGTGGCTTACAAGCAATCTTAGATGAATTTTAATGCATAGGGATATTGAGTGAATTTTAAACAAGAGAGATAATAGCTTAACCGAGATAATTCGGATTAAGTAAGGCACACATACATAATTTCTGGTCCCAAAATGCAACTGAATTTTAATCAAAAAATAAAACTTGAATTTCTTTTCTTCAGTGAGTGCTTATTGAGATCCTGAGAAAATTGTGTGTCTCTCTTTGTTGCTTTTCGCTTATTGTAGCTAAAGCTGCTCTTCAAAGCTTTTTTGCATAAAAAATGAGAGAAATCCTCAATTTGTGTGCCTTAAATCATGGGCTCCCAAAGAAGTGGAAGCTGTAGCTCTGTAAGTCTGAAATTATTATTATTATTTTTTTACCAGCAATAATTTTTCAAACCTATAAATATGCTTATATCCAACCAATAAACCATAATCTGTTTAATTTTTCCAATATTTTTACGAAATTATTTAAATAAAATGCCAATGAACAAGTAATGTATGTAAAAAAAAAAATTTTTAAAGTCAATTCCTACTTTGGTCCACAAAGAAAAAAATTTTTTAAATTACTTTTATTAAATAATTACAATTTGTTCTTCTATATAAAGCTGAAATTAATTAATTTAATTAAATTAATGAATTAATATTTGAAAAAACTGTATCAACATCAAGTGTCATCCACTACAAGTTTAAAAGAAATGTATTTGAACTTGAGTGGACAAATAAAAAGTATTTTATTAACGATTGAAAATGTGAACAAGATAATAGGGAGAGTGTGAACTAATAGTAGGAATTGGAGAAAAAAGGCATGTGGTATCAGGCAACTATAAAAGTTTAAATTTGGTGACGTGGACCAAAAGTTCTTTATTGAATTTATCTGACACAGCGAATATAAAATAATTAAATATTTAAGTGTGCACAATAAACTGTTTTTTCCCCCCATTCAAATGGAACTATAAGTTAGAAATGATCACTGATGTTATTTTTAAAATATGTGAAGAACTGAATAGCTTATAGTAAAATTTAAAACAATGACTAATGCTTAACCTATCAAAAAATTCCATTTCGTTTTTAACTCATCCCTATTTAATGAATTAATNACACTTTAATTGTCCACTAATCTTCAGATTTCCTGCTATGTTTTAAAAAACTTTATTTGTGAAAACCTTCAGCGTGGCGGACAGCTGGCCGCCTTAGGCGGCTAGTAAATTAATATATGGAGAAAAAAAAACTGTATTAACATCAAGTGTGATCCACTATAAATTTAAAAAATTGTATTTGAACTTGAGTGGATGAATAAAAAAGTATTTTATGAACGATTGAAAATTTGAACAAGATATATAGGGGGAGTGCGAACTAATAGTAGGAATTGAAAAATTTAAAAGAAAACAAACAAATGCATCAATACTTCCGTTGAACATTTCACTTCAAAAATAGAGAATTATGTGTCTCTGATGACCATTCTTATAATTTGTAGCAAGTTGTTGAAACTTGTGGTGTTGTAAGTTTACCTAAGGGTGGAAAAAACTGAAGAAGTGCAAAGTGATATTGATGAAGACAGTGTAACGGAACAATTTCTACTGCCAACATTTGCAGAAGGAGAAGAAACAAAGAGCAACATTCTGTGTTCACATTAGTGTGCAGAAAATGAACATTAATTTTTTGAACAAAAAACGATTCAAAATATAACATGTTTTTTCCACAAATATTTTTAAGTTTTTTACCTTTTGAATTTCACTACCATAAAATCTCTTTCTTTCAAATTCAGCTTTTCCATCAAACTTTTTGAATAAGAGTATTTGTCATTATCAGTGGTGTAGTTGTATTTTATATTTGGAAGGAGTTCACCTCTCTGAGATTATATATATATATACCAGGGTTGGCAAGATTTTGCCGCAGGTGTAAAAAACCATGGTAAAAACCGTCCTGGCAAATACAGGTTTTGGCCAAGCAAATTGGCAAAAAGTGGCAAAAACCTATATTTTCCAAGATGAGAGGACAAAAACACATTTTTGATACAAAATTATTCCTAAAATTGAAATATATACTATAAATATAAATAATTACAAAAAAATTAACAAAATTATTATTCCATAATTAAATGATAATGTAATAATATATCATTTTAGTAGGTTAAAACGTTATTGATTGGAAAATTTGTGATTATTCTTTTTTTTCCAGTGAAATGAACTTATTTTAAATTAATATAACTATAATTTAAAGCATAAAATATCTATCAATATGTGTAGTTAANTTGAGGAAATGTATTACAACTAAAAAGAGAAGGCTGCAATCTGTTTCATGTCTCTTCTTAACAATAAACAAGCAATATATAAATAAAAAAAAGTAAACTCCTAAATAGGCCAACAAAAATTTCTTTATTTTCCTTAATTTTTATTAAATAATTAATAATTTTATTAATAATTATCAGTGGTGTAGTTTTATTGTATATTTAGAAGGAGTTCACCTCCCTGAGATGATATATATATACACAC